CGAGAGGGCATCGGGGAGTAAGTTTCCGGCCTCTCTTTTGAATCAGCAGCGAGCGCGTCTCCTTTTTCCTTCATGCGCACCCCTGACACGCTTCCCGACAAGTCGGCATGTTCCTCACACGCTCCGTGGCCCCGTAGGAAGCTGCAACGAAACTCTGGGGGATGATACCGCATTTTCCCCTGCCAATTTCGGCACACCGCTCTTACGCTTCATTGCAGCATAGGGAGCTCCTCTGAAGTCCTAAGTGGGTTGTACCGCATTCGGTCCCCCAGACTGTCTCGGCAACCGCCTCACACGCTTCGCAAGAGGGCCCCAAGACGGCCCAAGAGCACCCCATGATGGCCCAAGAGGTCTCCAGGATGGACCCAAGACGGCCCAAGAGGTTGTTGTGGAGAGACCCACGACTACCTCAGAAGGCCATTTGACTGCCCAAGACGGCGTCAAGACTCCCCACGGCAGCCCCGAAACACCCTCTGTGTGGCCAAGAGGGCCCCAAGACGGGCAAAGAGAGCCTCAAGATGGGCTGCGAGGGCCCCGAGACGCCCCAACAGGGCACTAGAACGGCCCGCCAAAATGGACCCCCCAGACTGCCAGCACCAAGACGTCCCGAATCAGCTCCATGAGAGCTCCTCGAGGAGTGGAAACGAAAGGTGTCACATATGATGGCCTTCCCCTTCCTCCTCCTCCTCCTCCTCCACCACCTTCTCCTGCTGCTCTGCCTCGACCTCATCATCCGCATCATCCCCTAGCGAAGCTCCCCCACGCTTAGGGGCATGAGGTGCTACACGTGACGGACTCCCGTGGTCCCCTCGAACAGTCGCCACCCGGGACGCTGTGCTGGCGCGGTGGCGGGACGTACCGCAGACGGCCGGATCATGGAAGGCTTCCATCCAGCGCAAGAGACACGGAGAACACGCGCGTCAAGAAACCACACCCTCAACTGGCGAGTTCCGTGGGAGTGGCCAGGAGGTCCGCCCTCTTGCCTCGGGCCCGGACCCAGTGGGCACGCAGCGGAAATCAGGAGCACGGGGGCAAGGAGGAGGAACAGGAAGAGGGCTTCGAGGACCACGAAGGAGCACGGAGCAGGAGGAGGTTCAGCACCAACTGCCCAAACCGAACCCGTGGGAATGGAAGAGAACCGAATCGCGGAAGTGCCTGAGAGGGCTGAGGAGGAGGGGGAGGAGAAGGAGAGGCAAAGGGACAAATGAAGGAGAGGAGGAGGGTGGAGGAGAGGGGGAGGGTAGAGAGAGGGGGGAGGAAGGAGGGGGAGGAGAGGGGGAGGGGGGAGGAAGGAGGAGGGGGGAGGAAGGAGGGGGAGAGGAAGGAGGAGGGGGGAGGAAGGAGGGGGAGAGGGGGAGAGAGGAGGAGGGGGGAGGAAGGAGGGGGAGGAGAGGGGGAGGGTAGAGAGAGGAGAGGCAAAGGGACAAGGAACGGCTCGCTCCGTGGACCTCTCCTCCGCCCGCTCGGCAGCCCGAGCCGCTGCTATCGCGGCGTGCGCGCTGGGGGGGGAGGCCAGTGACAAGGAGGACGAAAAGGACGAGGGGAGGAAATGGATGATGGGGGGTACAAACAAGGGGAAGGAAGAGGAAGGAATGCGAGGAGGCAGAGGACGAGAGGGAGCACGGCGAGAGGGGAAAGAAGGAGGAGAAGATGTCTGAAACGAGAGGCGCGTGTTGAACACGAGCCAGCCTGCATCCTTGCAGCTGCTGCAAAGTGCCAACGTGCATTGGGAACGAGGCTGTGCGGCGCCAAGGCAAGAGCTGCATGTTGAAAACGACCAGCCCTCGAGCTCTGTAACTTCTGAAGGAGGTGAATGTTTGCGGAGACATTGCGAGAGTTGTGGATGCCATGAGCATGGACACTCTAACCATTCGATCACTGAATTAAACTGTACTTCAAATATCTCCTGTATGCTTCAAACATGCTCGAAACATGTGTCAAGCATGTTTTGGCACTCCAGACACTTGTTTTGCATATCCCAGACATCTGGACACGCTTAGGCAGTACGCCTCCTCTCCACTGCTCGTCTTCCCCAATGCGAGAGCCACATTTTGAACAGGACCGGCCCTCCATCCGCGCAGCTGCCGGGACCGGTTGAAACAAGTGCGCGCGGCGCTGACGCGAGAGCCGCATCTTGAAACCGACAGGCACTTCCATCTGTGTAATCGCTGAGGCTTGCAATTTCCAAGGTAACCGAGTGTAGAGAAGATTCCAGCGAAACGCCCGCCGGGCTTACGAATACGTCTGGTTGTGCGACAGGAGTGACTATGAGAGGAGGGACGGAAGGAGAAAGAGAGGAGGGGGAGACAGAGAAGGAACAAGGAGGAGGAGGAGGAGGGAGGAGGAGGAGGGAGGGAGGAGGAGGAGGAGGAGGGAGGGCGAGGAGGAGGAGGAGGAGGAGGAGGAGGAGGAGGAGGAGGAGGGGAAGGAGGAGGGGGACGAAGACGACGAAGAGGGCAGGCAAGGCAAGGAGGAGTACGAGGAAGAAACGGAATACGCACGGGGGATTATGACGAGGAGGGATAGGACGACGGGGAGGGATAGGAAGACGAGGTGGGGAGAGAAGAGGAATGAGAGGGAGGAAGAGGTCGACGACGACGAGGCAGCGGACGAGGACGACGAGGCAGGAGAGGTGGGGGAGGAGGGAGGAGGGAGGGGGAGCAGGAGGAGGGGGAAGGAGGCGGAGAACGGGAGGAGGGGTGGAGGAGGGGGGGGGGCTGGAGGAGGGGGGGAGGCAGGAGGAGGCCGGAGGAGGCAGGTGAGCGCCTCTCTTGAGCGGCCCGGGCCGGCCGCCTCGCGGACCCGCGCGGCGCCGCGGAGAGGCACGACGAGGCGCGGCGAGGTGCGGCCCACGGGGCCCCAGGGCGCCCGATCGTGCCGCGGGCGAGGAGGCAGGGGGGCGACGAGGAGGGAAGAGGGCGAGGACAGAGGTAAGAGGAGGAGGAGGAGGACAGGAGGAGGAGGAGGAGGAGGAGGGGAGGAGGAGGAGGAGGAGGAGGAGGAGGAGAGGAGGAGGAGGAGGCGGAGGAGGGGAGGAGGAGGAGGAGGAGGAGGAGGAGGAGGAGGAGGAGGAGGGGAGGAGGAGGAGGAGGAGGAGGAGGAGGAGGAGGAGGAGGAGGAGGAGGCGGAGGAGGAGGCGGAGGAGGAGGAGGAGGAGGAGGAGGAGGGGAGGAGGAGGAGGAGGACGACGACGACGACGACGAGGGGGGAGGAGGGAGAGGAGGGGGAGGGGGAGGGGGCGAGGACAGAGGGAAAAAGAGGAGGGAGGGGGAGGGGGGAAACAAAAACAAGACACCAACAAAAACGAGGGCAGAGGACGGGACGAAGAAGAAAAGGGACGAGGATAGGAAGGGATAGTAAGGCGAGGGAGGGGAGAACGGTAGAGACGAGGAAAGAGAGAAGGGAGAGACGAGGAGAGGAGGGAGAGAAGGAAGGCAGAGACGAGGAAATAATGCAGAGACGAGGAAGGAAGGCAGAGACGAGGGAGGAAGGGAATAGAGGACGAAGAAAAGGGAGTGACGAGGACTGAAGGGAAAACGTGTGCATGACAGAGGACGGGACGAGGAAGGAAGGGAAGGTGGAAGAGGGACGTGTGCCGCCCAGATATGTCCATATCCACTGCCACGGGGACGTGGGCTCGGGACCTCGGGCAACGGTGGATGATGTGGACACCCGCCCCCGCAGGAGGGCGGGTAGATGTCCAACTCCACCGCTCTCCGAGATCCCATGGCACGACTCCGCGGCTAAGAGGAGGAACAAGAGAGCTGCACAACCACACGCGTGCGGAGCTCCGTGCCGATCTCACGGAGCGGCGCTGGGGCCCCCCTGGCGGCGCCTCTGGCGCCGATCCCCCAACGGCGCCTCCGGCGCCAGGGAGGGGGCCCCCTGCGCAGGCCCAAGAAACCCGCCAGGAGCTCCGAAAGCTTAAGCTCATGTTTCTCGGCTGGCCCGTCGTCGGAGGTGCGGAGGTGCGGAGCGAACAGTGAAGGGGCCCTGGGACACACAAATAAATACACACAAATCAAAAGATTCCCCATATGTTCTTATATTTTCTGGGTTTTTGTCTTCCCCACCACTTCCCATATTTTCCCATATTTTCCTGGGACTCGACGATTAATTGTGTCTGTGTGTTTTTCCCCTCCTGAAACAGGGCGGTGACGTCGAGGAGAACGGGACGAGGCGGAGGAGCCGCAGGAGAGGGGGCAGCAGAGGGGTGCTGGGCGGAGGACAAAAAGGTTAAGTCGGGCCCGTCCCTCTACAGGAGGAATACCCCCAAAATAATCAAAAAATACCCTGGGGACCATTTTGTTGAGTATTGGTTGTCCATTTTGGAATATCTTTGGACGGTTGTCAATTTTTCGTCAAGAAGGCGAGGATCACCCCGGCAGAGCCCCCGAAGCATCCGCAGCGGAGCGCGGCCATGTGCACAAATCGGCACACATTGTGCCACGAGGCCTCGTGGCCGTCGGCCGTCTGGACCCCCAGCATGCCAAGACCTGCGACGTCCGGGTGTGCTCAGGGCGGCGTCCCCGAAGTCTGGACCCTTGAAGGGGCCCCAGGACACACAAATCAATACACACAAATAAACATATATATATATATATATATATATATATATATATATATATATATATATTATATCTATATATAATCCCATCTTTCACCATTTGGGGGGGGGATTTCGTCTTCCCCCCCACTGCCCATATTTTCTTATATTTTCGAAGGAATCGACGATTCATTGTGTCTGTTTTTGTTTCCCCTCCTGGACCCTTTCCCCACGACCCGCTTCTCACCCCGAGTCGTTCTTTGACGCTCCCCGGGGCCCGGCGAGGGCCCCGGGGCCGGGGGCCGAAAGCAACGAAAAGCTGGCCGTCCGGATCCTTGAACGACGCGAGCATGTCCGGGCAGATCTCCCCGACAGAAGCGCCAAAACACGATCCAGTAGCGGAGAGCTTGTGTGGGGGGGGGGGGGGGGGGGGGCGAACCGCCTGCCGGAACAGGCGCCCTCGGGCTCCCCCGCCCCTCCCTGCGGGGCCCTTTGGAGGCACCTCCAGTACAACCCTCTGGCGAGATGGCAGAATCCCAGACCCCGACGTCGTGATTTCTCACGACGTCGACCCACAAAGGTCTGGACCCCTTCCCCAGGACCGGCTTTGCATCCCGAATCGCTTTTTGACGCTCCTGGGGCCCGGCAGGGGCCCCCGAAGGGCGAAAATAGCGAAAAGCCTCCCGTCGTGGTCTTTTGTTTTGTCACAACGCGAGGGGATCTGGACTCAAGGGAAGAAGCCCCCTTCCAGAATTTTCCCCGGCATTGCACGTGTGGCCGTCGGGTCATGGCGCGGCACTCTCGGGGGCGGCCGAAAGGGGGGCGTCCACGAGGGGGTGGGGCGCAAATCATGGCCAGCGGCACGTGCGCGGCCCACGGGGGGGGGGCCAGGGACGGAATGACATAAGAAAAAGGCGCTATGAAATCTGAGGAAATATCATGGCCCACGCCATGATACCCCCCCCTAGTCATCACCCCCCCCTTTGCCAGAGATCCGAGGCCGTGATTTTTTCAATGCGGGGTGCCCAGAAGCCTCGACCCATTCCCCAGGACCGGCTTGACGTCCTGAGTCGATGTTTGACGCTCCCGAGGCCCGGCGAGGGCCTCGGAAGGCCGGAAACGGCGAAAAACCTCTGCCTTGATTTTTTTTGCATATATATATATATATATATATATATATATATGTATGCGCTGGATCTTGGGGTTCCTTGACTTTTTCAATGCGCTGGACCTCTAGAGGTTTCCCGCCCCCGACACTCCGGCGCCCTGACTCCAAATCCGCCCTACTTTGCCTTTTTTCCCAACTTAAAACTGCGTCGGAAATCCACCTGTAAGAGGCGGAAAAAGTAGGGCGGACATTGCTGCACTGGGCGGAAACAGCCGCAGAAAAAAAGAGGCGGAACTTAGGCCTCCGCGGGGCCTGAAAAGTAAGGCGGAACTTCCACGCCCTACTTACGAATTTCCCCAAAGTGGGGCGGATCCGGAGTCAGGGCGGCCCGTCGGGGCGCTGCGGGGCACGCTGGGGGCGCCCTCGCGGCGGCCTGGGGCGGGGCGCGGCCGCCGGCAGCCACCCCGCGAGGCCGGCAAAGAAACACCCGCCGAGGGTCATGACGGGGCCCCAGGAGGAGGGGGAGGAGGAGGAGGAGGAGGAGGAGGAGGAGGAGGAGGAGGAGGAGGAGGAGAAGGAGGGGGAGGAGGAGGAGGAGGAGGAGGGGAGGAGGAGGAGGAGGAGGAGGGGGGGAGGAGAAGGAGGAGGAGGAGGAGGAGGAGGAGGAGGAGGAGGAAGAGGAGGAGGAGGAGGAGGAGGAGGAGGAGGAGGAGGAGGAGGAGAAGGAGGGGGAGGAGGAGGAGGAGGAGGAGGAGGAGGAGGAGGATGAGGAGGAGGAGGAGGAGGAGGAGAAGGAGGAGGAGGAGACGGAGCGAACAGTGAAGGGGCCCCAGGGACACATAAAGAAGTACACACAAATGAAAAAACATGCCCCCTATTTTCCTATGTATTTTCAGGGTTTTTGTCTCCCCCCCCACTTCCCATGTTCTCCTATCTTTTCCTGGGAGTCGACGACTAACTAATGGTGTCTGTGTGCTTTTTCCCCTCATGAGGTCGGGCGGGCCAGCGGCGAGCGAGCGAGCGGCCAGGCGAGCGGCCCAGACCCCCCCCCCCCCAACGTCGTGATTGTTGTCCGCGGCGTCGAGCCCCCCTGCAGAGCTCTGGACCCCCCTCCCCGGGACCGGCTGTCCCTCCGGAGTCGTCTCGTGGACGGCCCCGAGGCCCAGTGGGTGACTACCTATACCAGACCACCCCAACCCAACCCGAAGACCCGAATTTGGCCCGAATTTCGGTTTGGGCGGGGTAATTACGGGTTCCATGTGTTTTTTCAATGTTGCCCGACCCCCCCCCCACTGGAAATCGAGGATAAATGTGGGCCTTCGGGTTGGGTTGGGGTGGTTTGGTGGGCGGTGAGTGGAAGGCCCCCCGGGGGCCGAGACCCGCGAACGAGGCCCCTCCCGTTGTGCTATGCGTGCAAGATTTGGACACCCGAAATGGGTACCGAAAGAATGGGTACAATGCCCAACAACAAATGTTGTCCCAAACCAACAGCGGCCGCTGTTGGACAGGCGGCCTTCTGTCTCGAATGGACACAGGCCGCGGCGGCGTGGACAGCGAGTCCTGTTCAGAATGAACAGGAACTGCTGTTGGGCATCGTACCCATTCTTTCGGTACCCATTTCGGGCGTCCAGACAAGACGCGGGGAGGCCGGGGGAGCGGAGGGTGGCCACCGGGCGCGCGAGCGGTCCGGCGGAGCGGGCGGGCCAGGCGAGCGAGGAGGAGCGGGACATGGCGCGGCCGAGGCAGCCGAGATCACCTCGACGCCGCCCGCCAGGTGCGGCGCCGGGCGCACGGGAGCAGCCAGGAGAGCGCCAGCGCGACCGCGGACAGCCACAGGAGCACCGTGGTCCTGATTGCGAGGGCGAAGAGAAGAAGGCAGGAGGGAGGGAGGGAGGCAGGGAGGGAGGGGGAGGGAGGGAGGGAGGGAGGGAGGGAGGGAGAGGGAGGGAGGGGGAGGGAGGGAGGGGGGGGAGGGAGGGAGAGGGAGGGAGGGAAGGGAGGGAAGGGGGGACAGGGAGGGAGGGGGGGATAGGGAGGGAGGGAGGGAGGGAGGGAGGGAGGGAGGGAGGGAGGAGGAGGAGGAGGAGGAGGGGGAGGAAGTAAAGGCTTTGTTAGTCGCCGACTTCCCGGTTCCCACTTTCGGGGGTGCCCAATTCCAGAGGTTCAGCTGTTCTTCCTGGTTCCCGATTCCTGGCTCCTGGGGTTCCCGGTTGTTCCCGGCTCCCGGCTCCCAATTTCCAATTCCCGGTTCCCGGTATCCGGGTTCCTGGGGCCTAGGCTGCCCGAGCACAGTAAATGACTACCACCACCAAGATCGAGAATAATCTGCGATGCGATTTGGTGCAGTTTTGCTCTGGTGAAAAGCCCGCAGCCCCCCTCCCCGCCGCCAACGGCAACCGGACTAACCCCTGGGGTTACCCCCTCACGGACCGAAACATAACTAATCGAAGCACGCGCGGTGGTGGTGTATAAAGTTTTGGTTACCGAGAGGAGCGATTGTTATACACAACCACCACCAAGAAGTACTGTTTCTGCTTCAGGAACTCCCCATGCCGCGGCGCCTGCGAGCTGCGCCGCGCTCCTTTCTGCCGTGGCGTTGCAGCGTCGTCTGGCATGACCCTGCCCCTAACACTTCTTGCGGTACATTACTGTTGCGAGCGGTGGTGGTGTATAAGAATTGGCTTCGCATGCTGGTTCTGGGTTCCCGGCTCCCGGCTCCAGGCTCCCGGTTCCCGGTTCTTGGTTCCTGGTTCCCGGTTCCCGGTTTCAAGGTTCTCGGTTCTGGGTTCCCGGTTCCCGCGGCTCCTGGTTCCCAGCTCCGGGCCCTTTTTTGTGATTTGTCCTCTCTCTCTCTCTCTGTCTATCTCTCTTCCTCTCTCCTTTCTCTCCCTCTCTCCATATTATTGTGCTGCTGGCGTCTACTCGCTTCCGACTTACACGTGTAAGCAATCGACTTTCATATATATATATATACATATATACACATGTATATGTATGGGCCGCGCCTCCTCTCTCCTCCTCGCACACACACACACTCTCTCTCTCTCTTTCACTCCATCCCTCTCTTGCTCTGGGTCTTCTATCTTTTAATACATGTATACACATATATCCGTGCATGTGTGCTCAGGTTGTCCCTATAGGTGCGCCTTTCTGTGAGTATACTTACATGCGCTTAGATACATGTGTGTATCTACAGGTTCGCATTTTGTATATATGTACATGTATATGTGTATCAGTCTCACTCGTTTCTCCGAGTGCACACATTCAGTACACATTCCTCTAGAAGCCCTTGCGTTTGATTACTGCTTCCCTCTCTCTATATATAGATATGTATGTTCCTATACGATGTGGTATGTATTCGTCTTAGCATTTGTAGATATGCACAAATGCCTATGTTGCTGTATATGACTCTGTCTGAATAGAAGTTGAATTAGCTGAACCTGACACCTTATGGATAACAATGCACATGTGCAACCCTGTAATGATCTATAGGTGTCCGTGTCCTTCTCTCTCTCTCATTATACCGCCCCCCCTCTCTACAACTACATTCATGCGTGTGTATACATATCTTTACATATACATTGAAATTATACGCGTACACACATGTGTATGTATATATCTATATAGCGTGCAGGTGCTGAGTTCTGTGCGTAAATATTCAGGTACCACCCTCTCTTTGTCCCTTCATTTTGGTTATGTCTATATCTCTATCTCTCTCTATATATATATATATATCTCTCTCTCTCTGTGTTCTCTCGCTCTCCCTCTTTCTCTCTTTCTCTCTCTCTCTGTTTCTCTGTGTATTTGTGTTATGTACATATGTTGTTATCTCTCTCTCTCTCTCTCTCTTTCTCTATTTCTCCCCGTGTACCTTTATGCATACACTCGAACCATGCGCGCTTGGCGCGCGCTTAAGTTCTAGTCGCTCCAGTGCTGACCGCACTGAGAGCAGAAAGGCGGTCACGAATAATGTGTACCACATTCCTTGTTTCCTGCGTCTGGCTCATCCCTCCTCTTCCGCTCGCATCGACTGGTCGACCAGTGATCGGTCGCCAATCCATGGGCCAGGGAAAATGCAGCGCTACGGCGCCATGTTGCACTATGCTATGGAATGCCATGATACTTCATGCTACGCTATGAAGCACAACGTCACGATGCAGTATGCAATGCAGTATCTCGATCTACTCTACAGTGCGCAATGCATGCTATGCCATGTTGCGCTGTGACATGCGGTAACACATACATACGGTGATACGCTGAGCCATATCATGCGATGTCTGCTACGAAGAGCGATGCGACCGCCTTACATGGTATGAACAGACATGGCATGCTGGGCTATGCAATGCAATGCGATGCTACGCCATGTTATGATCTGCCGAGCTAAATAACAAAATGAACAGCAAACGGGTATTGATATTCGCATGATATCGATTTACTACTGCGCAGACCAATACAGCGCTGGTCGATTCAGTTAATTATAAGCATTGGGGCGCCGTAGGACTCCACGATGCGTCATGGTATGCCATGCAATGCTAGGCAATGTTACGTCATGACGTGTAGTGCTGGGTTCAGTGTTTGACATTCGATGGAATGCAATAGTATGGCATGCGGAAGCATAAATTGATATGCGCTAACACGTTTGGCTCTGTTGTGCTGTGACGTGGCATGTCATGTCATGCAACGCTGCGAAGCCACGAGAGACACAGGAGGTCCTGTTCTATATACCGCTGTGCTTCGAAGTGCATTATGATGATCTTGCGTGCACTGCATTGCGTCCCATGGAAACGCATATCTATGCCTGCAACCATGTGCTACCACTGATTGGGTTCGCGCAGGGAGCATGTAAGTATCCCCTCACCCTCCAGGATTCCAGCGGTGAAGCCACGCCGTCAGAACATGCTGGCGGCAACGCGCCATCACCATGACAGCCGTCGAAACCACATGCCGGATTCATGACTACTGTCGCCACCGCACAGCTTCGATTTTACCACGACCGTCGCAATTTGACAACCGCGTGGTTGAGGCTGGTAAGACATGGGTTTTGCTGTATCGTAGTGGTTAAGTAGTGGTTCTAGTCGCGTTCTAGTCGCGTTCTAGTCGCGGCCTTGTCGCGACTAGAATTCTGGTCGCGTTCTGGTCGTGGGACCGTTTCGGGGTGGGGCGAGTAGTGGGGAACGCCGCGCGCGGGGGGGGCGCGTAGAGACATTGCCTCAACTGGAGGCAATGTCTCTACGAGGCAAACGCGCAGGCAGAATGAGAAACAATCTACAATTCATCCCTCAAAAACAACTCGTCGTCCTGGATTTTTGTTTGACGGACCCGGAATTTTGGGAGGCCCCTGGAAGCCGCCAGCGGCGAACAACTTCAAGGACTCGTTTCCCGCAGGGTCCGTTTGCTTCACGGCGAGAGACGCCTGTCCTCGACCCCGGGCCCTGGACCTCTCCCGGACCTCGCCATCGCTCGGACGTCCATTCCCTGTGTTTTTTGGGGGTTCCGTGCGTGTTTTTTTTTCTCGCCAAATGATCAAGGATGCTCCTCGATGGTCCTCGCCGAAGGAAAAATGCACACGTCCGAGCGATGCCAAGGAACTGCACTCTGATCGGGTCGGGCGAAAGGTTGGGGGTAGTAGAGAGGGGGGGTTGGCGAATCGGCTCACGGAGCTGGTGCTCCAGGCGTCTCTCAGCCCTGGGGGGGGGGGAGGAGGGGAAGGGGGAGGAGGAGAAGGAGGAGGAGCAGGAGGAGGAGGGAGGAGGAGGAGGAGGAGACGAGGAGGAGGAGGAGCAGGAGGAGGAGGAGGAGGAGGAGGAGGAGGAGGAGGAGGAGGGAGGAGGAGGAGGAGGAGGAGGAGGAGGAGGAGGCGGCGGCGCATCGAGGAAAGCGCCCGGCGGCGGGGCCGAAACCAGCTGCACGCAGTCCCCGTCCCTGAGACGACGCCAGGACAGGGACAGCCTCGGATCGGGATCAATCGGAGACCTCTGAGCTCTATCGGGTCTGGGGGACGGACGTATCGGGCGGCGCGGCCGCTCCCCAGACCCCCGACGTCATGATTTTTTCATGACGCGACCCCCAGAGGTCCGGACCTATTCGCCGGGACCGGTTTTTCATCCTGAGTTGTTTTCTGACGGTCCCGAGGGCCGGTAAGGGCCCCCCGAGGGCGAAAATAGCGAAAAACCTTCCGTCGTGATTTTTGTCATGACTCGAGGGGGTCTGGGTCTGGAGCGCTCCAGGGCGCTCCGAGAACTGCCGGGAACGCTCCGGAACGACGCATCACGCCGTCCCAGCCTCGCCCGGAGAACCGCCCCTCGCCCGACCCGCCGTCTCCGACCGCAGGCGAGTCCAGGCGTGGCCCTGGCGCCCGGGCCCTCCTCCGCCGGAGGCTCCCTCCCCGGACCCCCGACGTCATGATTTTTTCACGACGCGACCCCCAGAGTGAAGGGGCTCCAGGACACACAAATAAATACACACAAATAAAAAGATCCTCCATCTTTTCGCATATTTTCTGGGTTTCTGTCTTCCCCCCCACTTCCCATATTTTCCCATATGTTCTGGGAATCGCCGATTAATTGTGTCTGTGTGTTTTTTCCCCTCCTGACAGAGGTCCGGACCTATTCGCCGGGACCGGTTTTTCATCCTGAGCTGTTTTTTGACGGCCTCGCGAGGGCCGGTAGGGGTCTCCGGAGGGCGAGAAGGGCGAAAAGCCTCCCGTCGTGATCTTTTCATGGCTCGAGGGGGTCTGGGTCCCAAGGATCTCGTGGCGATGCTCCCAGGGAGGAGGCCGGATATCCAAGGGCGCGCCGCCCTTTTTTCCTAAAGGTGTCGGGGACGGAAGCCACCCACGCATAGAAG